TTAGGATTACTACAGAAAGAGGATATCAAGTTAGGCAGTCGCAACCGTTATGACGTAAAGTATTAGTAGACCAACGAAGCTTTCTTTTTTTAACCTTAATGCAAGAAGTATTATTAACAAAGTAGAGGACTTGGAACATATTCTAATTGAACCTGACCCCGAAATCGCGGTAGTTACAGAGGCGTGGTTGCATGGGCTTGTGTTGGATGATACAAAGAAAAGATCGCGGCAGCAGGAGAGGTGGTGTCGCTATAATTGTTAAGCGTGACCTTGTCTGCAACTTAATCGAAAACTCATCGAACATTGAGAGCGTTTGGTGCAAATAAAACTACCCAACATCAAAATATTGATAGGGGCTGTCTATCGTCGACCAGGTTCCGGCTTCGACTTCATAAAAAATTACATGACTTTTTTATTAAAACCAGGGCCAACACCCATAATGTTATAATTGCGGGAGACTTTAACGTACCAGGCATTGATCGGGCTGCGTTAATGCATGGAAACCAAGACGTCATTCTGGCTTCTGCATTGATCGATATGACTTTCTCTCAGTTTAACCCAGATAGTGGCCTCGTGATACACGAGGCCACTATCTTGGCCTCCTGATACACGAGGCCAAAGTGGATGCACATATGTTCTTGGCTTATTCGTTCTTAGTGACAGCGTCATGTTGTTCCCATTTGTATATAGTGTAGTACCAGGAATATCTGATCACTCCATGGTTACGTTGTCTCTGCATCTTGTAAACCTGCCAAGTACTTGTTGCGATGTCACAACATACAAACACTTCGATTACGCTGATGATGTTGGTATATTAGATACGTTGGAATCTAGTTATTCCGGTTTTACAGATTTGAGTCTTAACCCTGCAAACGATTTAACGATCTATGGCTGAAGTTTAAAGAAATAGTTTTCGAATGCATTGATCAATACGTTCCCACAAAGACAAAAAAAGGCATAGAATCAATCCGTGGATCACCAAAAATATCGTACATGAAAAGCGAAAAATCTCGAGATGTAGAGTGCAGCTGCGCAAAACCAATTGTGAAACCATACGTGAAACTATTCGAACTTTGAGTGCCAGCCTAAATACAGCAAGAAAAAGTGCTAAACACAAGTTTTATAATTTTACAATGCCGAACTTTCATTTAACTGCACCCAAGAAGTTTTGGCGGTATCTCTCTCCCAGGAAAAGCGAAATCACAAAACTGATTAGTGATGATGAGCCAGTCATTGAACCGGTGGATATAGCCAATACGTTCAATAAGTTTTTTCTACAGTATTTTCTAGTGACGATGGTATGGCACGAGTGTTTCACACGTATGCAAACATCCCGGCGATAGATGATGTATTTTTGTCATACGAGGGAATCTTTTCGTTTTACTCAACATTGACCATTCGAAATCAGAGGGATCCGATCAGGTTCCAAATTCTTTTTTAAAAAGATACGCAGAATGGTCAGCCAAATATCTTTTCATTATTTTTCAAAAATCACTACAGTCAGCTGCTATAACGGATGATTGGAAAATGGCTGAAGTAATTCCAATCTTAAAGTCAGGTGATGCGTGCAGTGTAATGAACTACCGGTCAATTTTATTAACATCAAGTTGCTGTAAACTCCTAGAACACATAGCTTCAAAGCATATTAAATGATTTTTAGACACTCATTCCCTATTGAATGACAAGCAGCATGGATTCAGAAAGGGTCTATCTACTGTAACGCAACTAACTGAGGTTGTATATTTTCTTTCTCAAGTTTTAGACGCCAGGGGACAGGTAGACTGTATCTTTCTAGATTTCCAGAAAGCAGCTTTGATAAAGTAAACCTTGAGAAGTTAATGATTAAATTACGTCCGATATTAAAAAAAAAACAACTGTTGCTAGGTTGGATTGAATCCTTTTAAAAAATCGTAGACTGTATGTAAGCATCAAAAATGGCTATTCAGATATGTATGATGTTGCGTCGGGGGTTTCTCAAGGGTCCGTGTTGGGCCCGTTGTTGTTCTTAGTATTTATAAATGATCTAGCAGAGGATCAAGAAGTGCATGCTAGGCTCTTTGCGGACGATTGTCTTATATTCGCTGAAGTTCATGCGGCCTCTGATCAGGATAAATTAAATAGATTTTTGACTAGAATAGGCGAATGGTGTGCCACTTGGCAAATGTCTCTAAATAAAAAAAAAACAGTATGTATGCCAGTCACTCACAAACGTCAACCATTAATATTTTCATACAAACTTAATGGTCCTTTGCGGTCTTGCGTGAATGAATTCAAATACCTTGGCGTCACGATCACAAACGACCTAAGATGGAGTACGGACATCCATAATATAGTTAAAAGGCCAATAGTAGATTGGGCTTTCTCCAAAGATTCCTTAAGTTTGCGTCCGTAGAAACAAGGCTAACGACGTACAAAACGCTGATCAGGCCTTTACGTCAGAAGTGTGGGATCCTCACGTGATGTATCTTGAGCGGGAACTTGAAAGAGCCCAGCGGCTTGCAGTGCGCTTTATATTTTCTAGTTATCGCCGACTTGAATCCCCTACCCAGCTTTGTTCGCAAGCCGGCCTTCCATCGCTTAGAAGTAGGAGAAAAACCAAGCGTTTAAAACTTCTCTTTATGATTCTCAATGACCTTTTTTTTATTGACAAAACATCTTATATCACGCCTCAGCAATCTAGAATTTCAAGAAACAAACATAGTCGACATATACAAGAATACAGATATAACAAGGAATGTTTTAAAAATTCTTTTTTTGCACGCACAATTCGCGAGTGGAATTTCCTGCCGGAAAGTATGGTGGCATGTCAAGATTCAGAAAAGATATTTTTTTATTAAGCGTGTTTCTAGATATTTAGGTGTATTGTCATGATCTGTGTGTGAATGAACGGGTGTGCTTTTGAACCATGTGTACCATTGTTGAATTGTTCTTTTTTTCCACTCCTGTAAGTGTCCCGACTCGGGACTGACAGTATGTGAAATAAATAAATGAAAAAAAAATAATAACCCACAGGCACAACACACACGCGACGACACGCTATTTCAATCGCCACACCAAAGCCTACCCATGCGCCTTTTAGAGTGATCATACGAGAGGAGTCGTTTTGTCAGTGACCATCTCAACCGTGAACGATGTTACAAATATGGTGCTGCTTTCGCACCATTATTGTTCTCCAATATTCTTGATGAACTTTCCAAGGAGTGTTTCTCTTACTAACAAGTAACAGTGCACACTATAATTATTTGTGACAGTCTATAAAACAGCGTCCCCAAAGGCTCCCGGCAGCCGTGTTCTCGCTTCCCCGCATAGACTGCCCTACTTTGCGCATGCGCGTCTCCGTGGCAACTGCATCGTCTCTTACGAAAAAAACAAAAAGAAAATAAACCAGAATTAATCTTTTTTGTCTTTGGAAACGCTTTTACCATGTGCTACGTGTTAAAAACATTTTTCTACGTTTCAGTTTACCTAAAAAGAAGATATAAACGTCTTCAAAGCACGTTCAAAGGTATGCAAAAGGGAAGAACACCAGGACAATGGTCAAAAGCGGCATGGCCAGTGCATCAACAATGGCTGCGCTTGAGTCAGCGGCGGCTTCCACGACGAGCTGGTACGGAGGCTGCGATCGTTATAAAGTCAGCTTCAACCCTTAAAGATGCCCCCTCTTGCAAGTTTTGATGCTACGCCATCGTCTGTGGATACCTCCCCCTGTGTTCCGAAACAGTAAGTGCGTCGCTAACGCTGGCCATCGACGATGCAGCAGACGCCGCCATCCTGTCCGCGCGTCTTTTGCTTCCTCGCGCCTTTCGCTGCTTTTGTACCCGCGCTTTTGCACCCGCGGCTGCTTTTGTTCCAGCGCGCCTTTCGGTTAGTCCTGGTCAAGTACAGTTAGTCCCTAGCATTTGCGCACGGTACTTAGCTCAAACCAGATGGTCTTTTCGGGGAGCTAATGGGAGTTCAGGGGACCAAATGCTACCATTAGTCCTTTGAGACCATCTTTTTTCTTAGAGTGTATATCTGCTGGCACTGCTTCGGGGCTCCGCTCTTACTGACGGGTTTGTTTGATCGTTTCAGAAAATTGGTCGTAGAAACGTTGATGAAACCTAGGTGTTCTTAGGGTTAGGTCTGTGAGACTTAAGTAGAGGAGGTTTCCGATGCCAGTGACGACATATAACCTCAGAAGCGTTTAATAAATAACGCGCTTGACGTTTCCGAAATACGAAACCGAAAAAAGACGACGTGGGAGTGAGAAGTATCCTTCTGCCTGACTGAAAAAAAAAGAAGCTTGCTCCTTTTTTATTTTTGTGCCTGCATGGGGGCACGTCAGTACAAGAAAAGAAAAAGAAAACACCGTTGATAAGTTTTCTCTTCTTTTTATCTTACAGTATACGCCAGAAATCAACAAGAACGCGAAGACGAAGGTAACCGACGCCAGGCGTAACCTTCAACTCAATCATTCGATCGAGAAAAATAAATTATAATCTAGCCCATGTTCTATGACAGGTTGAGTACGTACGTTCAGTAAGTGCGAGATTTCCTATTATTTATGTGGCCTTTTTAATTAAAGGCGAGAGAGTCGGATTGGAAGAAGGATCCTGCCCGGTGATTTCTAACAGTCCCGTCCGCCTACAGAAACTATCCATAAATAAACTAAGATGTTAGTGAAACATTTAAAGAGCAGCGAAGACTGAATATCGTTCTGAAACATGTCTCCCACCGTGTACATCTTTCTCAAGTTTCAGAATATATCGTCAAAAATGAGAAAACGTAACTGTATTTTTGACGAAGTTAGCTGAGCCTGTCGGTGCATGCATAAGAATGCTTCGGAGCAGCGAGATAAAAAAAAAAAATTTAAAGAAAGAGGTCCTTGGTCACTGGCTCTAAATGAACGCGAAGACGCTACGGGCTTTCTTCGAATAAACGACAGATGTCCAGGATGCACTGCAGGTAAGGGATTTACAAATGCGCGGCTGGCACCATCTCCGGTGATTCAGAAAGCATACCTGCGCCTCCTCCACGTGTGGGTGCTTGTTGAGGATGCTCTCAACCTCCAGCGGCGGCACTTTATATCCCATGTAGTTAATCATCTCCTTGATGCGTCCCACAAATGTGATACGACCATCCTCGCTCATTGTTGCCTCGTCCCTAGGAACGAGTTGATAGAAAGGAACTTTCAAGGCTTCAATCAAATATTATTTATATTTAAAATTTCCTCTCGTCCGGAAGAGATATCTGTGGAACTGGTTTTCAGACAGGATTCATCATCGCACGCGTAACGAAAATGATACATACAAAATTGCAATATTACTCTTCGATATATATTAAAGAAGCAGTGAGCTCCAGGTCCAGGGCAAATTTCCTTAAAGGAAAGGGTTAATATATTTATATAACAAAAGCAATTATTTTCTCCCCTCCGAAAAACAAAATGTTGCGGAAATATTTATATTTGCCGGCGCATTTAAAACAAGTCGCGTTTTCAAATATCATCACCTGCCGGTGCCAAAATAGAGACATTTCTCAGAATCACTGAAATTAGCCTCACGAAGTATTGTACTGAAAGTGCTTTTATTGTAATTTTTTTATAGGGCGCCATCTGCAGGTACCTAAATCCTGATGCTTGGTAGTTTCAATGTTTAAAAAACATTATTTAAGATGCCTGAAGCGTCAGGCTCGCGTTGAGACTGTTTGAAGAAAGCGGATACAGGTTCGATAGAGCTTTGAGGGCTGGAAAGAAGGAAAAACAAAAAGAAGTGCTGCAATCGGTTATCCCCAGGTTTAGCCGCCCTTGCATATGTGTTTATGCAAAAGTGTCACCATTTCTTGCAAAAAAAAAAAAAAAAAAAAAAACAACGAAACAACCTACGTGCTTTGAAGAAAAAAATGAACAAACTGCTGCAAGTGGCAGACAGTGGTGTAAAATAGACAAAAAAAACTGCAGAACCAGGGATGCTGCCGGAATTAGACAGGAATAACTGGGCAAATTTGACGGGCCTCGAAAAACAAAACAAAAAAAACATTTTGAAGAATATAGATTCTGGACGTGAACACATACTAGTGCGAATTGCTATTACTTTATAATTCTAAGAATAACATTATTCGGTGAGGGAGACAATTCTAATTTATTTCGGATTCAGGCGTGGAAGGTGATTCTAAAAGGACACTGGATCTGGTTATTCATAATTCAAGGAACTTATATGTAACACAAATTATCGAAGAGAGGTTACAGAGTGGTATGGAAGTTTGGCATTTTTGTGTTGTATTGAAAACATAGTAGGCATATACAAAAAATATTTAAGCGTATTTGGCATCTCCATGATAGTGCACCCTTAAATAAGCGCGCCGCGTTTCACAAACGCGGGTTGTTCCGGCATTTGCGCGTTTGTGCAATTGAAAATATACTTATGACTGCCGTACTCGATACCTGTTAACTTAGGGTGTATCGATGCACAAATGTACATAGCAACGTTCAAGGGAATTCTTGCGGGCACAGAAATAATTTAATTAAGTTAATCTTCACCGACTCATCTACATATTTCGGCCGAGCCTTTCGTATTCCATACTGGAAGGCTTAAATTTTTTGTCCAAAAATGCTAGCCCTCTTTGTCTCAAAAAAGAAAACTGTATCTTTTCGGTATTAAACAACTTTGAATTTAAGTCATGTCTTTTTTATAGTGATATTTGCAACAAAACACAAGATCGTTTCTTAGAGTTTTAGTTTAAGCTTTACTTTTTTTTCCTTCACTTAATTTTTTAACAGCCGAACAAAATGTCGCTTGAGCGAAACGTTCTGGAGTTTCACAACGCCCGTCAGTGCGCTGATGAACCTTGTTTAAAACGGAATATACGTTTTTTTTTATATATATACTAAGCGTTACTAACTTTGTGCGCTCGGAATTTTTTAGCGGTTATTCTTAAAGACACTCCTATTTGACTATCCGTATATTCTTTATCACAGTGAGGAAGCATCCATTATAGCCTTGGGCAACGCAACCGACGTGACTGCCTCCCTTACCCTGTATGGTACCAGTTATCTCGGATTGCGTCCTTCGTCTTGGCCTCATTGTTGATGTAGCCTTTGAAGACATGAGGGCCTCGGGTGCACAGTTCACCCCTCGTGTTCACAGGAACAATCCTGCCTTCCGCGTCCACAACCTTCACCTGCAGCAACGAAGGACGTCATCAGTTTTATGACTCTATAGCTTTAAAAAAAATGAAAAGTCATAGTAGTAAGTAGTTTAACTATTGCACTGATGACATCGCAGCTTCGAATAATAGGGTGACTATAAAATTGTTTTCAAGTCATTCACACTTGAATCAAAACAGAGTTCTGAAATCTGGTGTCGTATTTTCTCATCAACAAACATTTGCACCCCGAGACAAATAAATACGGCGTGGGAAAATAAGTTGCTATTTGCGAAGATGGAAGGAGGGCAAGTCCAGAAGATCCAGAAAGCGAGCTGTGCTTTGAGTGCCTTTATATTTTTTTTTGTCGGTGTCTTGTTGCCATTGGGCAGCATTGGCCTAAACGTCAGCTGACACTGTACAGAAACGTGAAGGTTGACTCCAAGTGCTTTTTCAAGTTCTGCTGACCAAATGTGAAAGTAGCTTTACGACTCCACAACTCCGAATAACAGAGATGGAAAAAGTCCCAGAATACCACCTGCTGTTCGTGAGCTGGAGAAAGGCGCATCGCACCATTTTAGACCGCAGCTCTTAGTCGTCCGTTTCCCGCTTGAGCGGCGTCGGCGACGGTATAGCCGTGAGCTCACGTGACCTCCGTGAAATCATGTGACCCCCGTGAGGTCACGTGACCCCATTGACGTCACGTGAACCCGGTGACATCACGTGAGCCCGGTGACGTCACGTGACTCCCGTGAGGTCACGTAACAACGGTGACGTCCCGCGATCTCACGGTTACGCCGACGACGCTTGGAGGGAGGGGTAGCAGGCAGGATGTGGAGGTGAGGAGAAGAGAGGAGGGGTTTACGCTCCCCTGAGTAGCCTTCCCTCCTCCTCGTGAGCTACGCTTTGATTCTATGTTACAGAATCGAAGCGACTTTCATTTTTATGTTGCCTTGTAGTTTTTGTACTTATGCATTTTATATCCTCATGCTCATGTTTATGTAGTTACAAGATACTTTTTTTATTTATAGTCTTTGTACATACTTGCACATGTGCTCTTTAAGCGGGAGACACCGGATCGAGAAGATTCAAGGGACACCCAATTGTTCCTGAGCCTTGCCGTACTCGGCCATTCCTCTGACCCGTTGTACGACAGGCTGGACGTTTTGTGGTTTATGGGTTTCCTCTGTCAAGCAGGCAACAGATCGACAATTTGTGGAGACGTTCAAAGCTCAGGTAAAAAACTGATTGGAAGGCACCAGCTATTCTTGGCTTGCGAAACGTGCCCAGCGACCGGTGTGTAACCGACCTCGACGTGACCCAGCGGCTTGCCAACCGTTCGAATCCAGCGATCTGTTTCTTCATCGGGATTCGTAAGGGAAATGACCGGACTTGTCTCGCTGCCGCCGTATACAATCTGAAATATCGCACCATAGAGTGGCATCAGTTGGGAGACCAGGGAATCTGGGAAATGTTCCGTAGTGAAGAGACTGCTTAAGAATAGTCCACGTACGTATAATTGTTGGGCGTTCAACCTTGTCATCGTCTTTTCAATGGTGGCAGGATTACACATGGACCCGCCCATAATTGCTGCGGTAGACATGGAAACCAAAGAAATGCATTCAGGAAATAAATAAATTGAGGTAATTGCAGGAAAGAAATAAGTAAATTGTAAATAAGACACAGGTAAACAATACAAATAAGGACGTAGACAGTGCAGCGAAGCCGCCACCAGAAAACAAAAATGATTTAAGCATGGAGCACAGCAGAGTAGCATTAGGTTATGCTTCACACTTCTGTTAAAGCATAAATACCGAACACAAATTGCTATAGGCATATAACAGGGAAACCGCTTGAGAAAAAAAAAGGCCTACCGCCTTCGCATTGCATCCATAATCTAATATATCCGTAACGTATAAGCACGTTCTGCGAAAAGAGTCTTGTAACCAGATTGAACTGTTTTGGATGATGATTGTTTGACGGCACGAGGGTGATGACTAGCACGATCTCTACAACAAAGCTAGCGTTTCCCTTGTGCGCCCCTGAGCGTCACTTTGTATGATATTATGCTGATAAATGTTTCTAAAAACCAATCGAGGCAAGCTCGTTTGATGTTCGATCATTACCCTAAAATGAATTCCCAGATAATGCATTTCCAATCTGACCCCCTCCAATAAATCTTACATGGTGACGTGAACGTGAGATGCCAATGCTGATTGCTCTTCGATGCTTCGACTTAACTTCTAAAAGAGCCCTGATACTCTCCTTCACAGATTTGACATTCACGTAGTAAAGATGTGGCGTTTCCTTGCAACGCTTAACTTTGACGGCGTATCTGTTGTTTCTGGAATAGCATTGCTTACTCCAGCGGAAAGACATTGGAGCTATTAGACGCAAGATCAGGGACCTCGGAACCGGAGGGGGCAAGGGGGCTTGAACACCCGCTGTCATTTTCCAGGGGGGTGCTGGGCAATACGCTGAGCCCTGTGCATTTGGCTCAAGGCCTCCCTCTACCCCAGCGCCGAATTAAAGTACTGGATAAGGGGGCTGTAGTGCTAATCCCCGAAAATTTGAAAAAAAAAAAAATAAAATCCTAGTCGGTTTTAGTTAAGAACAGCTCACACCTAAAGGTGGAAGCAAACTACAAGGAGCATCGGGGCCCTGGCTTTCTGACGTTGTGCCAATTCCCACAACCCTTCCTCCACCTCCCATTTTTTTTCTACGACGGGTAAGCGGTTTTTTTAGACGATCTGGTGTTTGTGAGCTCGTAAAAAAAAAAAAAAAAAACTGTGCCAGAGCAACAAAATGTAAGCGTCGCCTCCGACCCTCCTTGTCCGAGGGAGCAAAGCTGTCGACGTTGGCGGTTCCTTTTCGGTCTCTTCTAATGGAAACCAGACGTAAGGACGGCCACGGAGTTCTCTACTGTACTGGGGCACACTCGGCGCGTTGTACGGAGAATTGTTAGTTAGAAGGCAAGCAAGATTCGCCGAAGGCTACACGAGCAACATACATGCTACATATTATTTTTTGTATATTGTTGGTCTTTTAACTTAGTTCCACGTGGAAAATTTCCTCCGAAACGACAAGTTTAAAACAAGCAAAAAGAAACATCGGTGAACCTCCTGAAGCATTCTTTTCTAACCTCTAACAGGCGTTTCAAGGATCCGGTTCTTGAGGTGCCCCCCAAGAGTTTTCGAGAGGCAGTGACTCCAAGCAACGGCTCTGGAGCCCGTGTCTGATCTACTAGTGCGAGACATCTTTTCTGCCGTCGAGTGATATGACCGTAGAAATTTGTTTTGTGCGTGTCTCTGAGGTATGACTTTTTATTCTTAGCTTAGAGCAGGGGTGGCCAAGCTGCTGCTCTTTGAGTGTTAAAGTGCGGCTCGTGGCTCCCTAGAATTCCTAACACCCCCCCCCCCCTCCTTTTCCGCCTCTTAACGGTCACATGAGCATTTACCGCAGAAGGGAAAAGGAACAAGTTTTATATTGAGACAGGTTGCGGTTTGGTCCTGTGCTACCGCTACCATACGTACGTAGAGTTGGACTGCTTTTGACTTGGATAGTTCTAAAGTAGTGCAAGTTTCATTTATTGGTCTAAAAATGTTTGGACCCCCCTCTTTGTTTTCTCCCGCCTTTACACTTAGAAGAAACAAGACCATTTCCAAAACGAATGGAAACATTTTACCTTCAAAACACAGCATGTAGAAGAGGAGTTTGAAAATACATTCTTGATCTTTATGAGAGATGCCCGTGAATGTGTCCAAAATGATAGAGTTTGCTATATTGCCATCACATTTAGTCTTAATTATTTCTTGTATTATTTGCTTGCAGAAGTCTGTTAGTTTGGGATACGAGAGTTCAGTTACTAGAAGAGGGTGGACGAGGCGGCTTGAGTCCTAAATAATTGAACCACCAAGAATACTTTGTTTTATGTTTTCCTTTTAGAGCGCAGCTCTTAGGGGCCCGTTTCCGGCTTGAGCGGCGTCGCCGTCGGCGTCGGCGTCGGCGTCGGCGTCGCCGTCGCCGTCGCCGTCGGCGTCGGCGTAACCGCGCGGTGCATCATGGGAAATGTCCCATAATGCACCGCGCGAGCCCCCCACCAAGGTCACGTGACCTCGTGGGGGGTCACGTGACCCCCCGAAGTCACGTGGCCCCCTCCTCGAGGTCACGTGACCCCCGCCGATGTCGCGTGACCCCCCGATGACGTCATCGTCACTGATGACGTCACCGGCATCCACATCGTCATCATCACTGATGACGTCACCAGCATCCACATCGTCATCGTCATCATCACTGATGACGTCACCGGCATCCGCATCGTCATCGTCATCACTGATGACGTCACCGGCATCCGCATCGTCATCGTCATCATCACTGATGACGTCACCGGCATCCACATCGTCATCGTCATCATCACTGATGACGTCACCGGCATCCACATCGTCATCGTCATCATCACTGATGACGTCACCGGCATCCGCATCGTCATCGTCATCATCACTGATGACGTCACCGGCATCCACATCGTCATCGCCATCATCACTGATGACGTCACCGGCATCCACATCGTCATCGTCATCATCACTGATGACGTCACCGGCATCCACATCGTCATCGTCATCATCACTGATGACGTCACCGACATCCGCATTGTCATCGTCATCATCACTGATGACGTCATCAGTGACGTCACTGATGTCGTCACCGGCATCCGCATCGTCATCGTCATCATCACTGATGACGTCATCAGCGACGTCACTGATGACGTCACCGACATTCGCATCGCCATCGTCATCATCACTGGTGAAGTCATTAGTGACGTCACCAATGACGTCATCGGTACCCGCACCGTCATCGTCACTGATGACGTCATCAGTGACGTCAGTGATGACATCATCGGCATTGGGGGTCACGTGACCCCCAAGGTAACGTGACCCCCCCCCTGGTTAGTTTAACCCCCCCCCCCAGTGCCCTTCCCTCCTCCTCCTCAAGAGCTGCGCTCTAATTCGGCGTTACAGTGAGTTGTAAGCGGCTTTCATTTTATTGTTCAAGTCCCCATATGCAAGATATAAGTAAATATGTGAATTGAAAAAAAAGTCAGTAATTAAAGGGGTCATGAGATGATATCGGCTTGGAATGTTGATGACTTTAAAGAGGCGCACTCGTCCTAGTCTGAACGTATTGATTGATTGATTGATTTTGGGTTTTAATGGCGCAGCGGCTGCTAAGGCCATGGTGCGCCAGAACAATGGTAGAAGACAAAACTTCGGTGCTATTTAGTTAAAGGTGAGGCATGATATGAGAGTTTAAAATCTTTCATAAAATGCAGACAATACAAAGAAACTTCACTAACTTAAATGTGCTGTAATAGGCCAATGCTGTTTAGGAAGTTAAAAACTTGGTTATGAGGAGCAAGAGGCTCCTCTCCCAGCAAAAGGGCTGGGTGGAATGGGATCTGTTCTTTAAAAAACCGTGAAAAGTTGGTGCGACGCTCCTCATGAAATTTCGGACATTGAATGAGAATGTGCAAGACGGAGAGTGTTTCATCACATTCTTCACACATTGGAGCATCCTCTGCTCGCAGAAGGAAGCCATGCGTGAGTTGAGTGTGACCAATTCTCAGGCGACAGAGAACAACTTCATAAAAGCGCTCGTTATGTCGGCAACTGGCCCACTCAGAAAGAAGAGTTTTCACGCAATGGAGCTTATTATGGACTTCAGTGTCCTATTCCTCCTGCCACTTCTTTTTAATTGACTTTTTTAATGATGAACTGTAATCCAGGTATGGGATGCAGGTAACCTCTCTGTCCATGTCCTGACATGTTCTAGCGGCTTTATCGGTCTCCTCACTTCCGACTACACCGACGTGGCTAGGGATCTAACAAAAATTAATGGTGATGTTGGAGTCTGTGGCAGCTACAATCTTGTTACGTTTTTGCAGAATAAAAGCATCGTTTGATCTATCTAGGGATGCAAGTGCACGGAGTGCACTGAGGGAATCTGAGAAAATTATGGCAGCCTTGATATTTCTTTTGATGATAGTGTACACAGCTACCAGTAGGGCATATGACTCTGCAGAAAAGATGGTGGCTTGGTTGCTGAGCCGCGTTACAATACTGCATGACGGCCCGACTACAGCACATCCTACACTGCTGCTCCCCTTCGTTCCATCCGTGTAAAACTGTACAAAGTTTTTGTAGTTTTCAGAGATTTGGAAGAACTCTTGCCTAAGATCTTCTGCTGGTACATTCTTCATGTCATACTTGGAAAAAGAAAAATTAATCGGAATAGGTGTGATGTTCCCGGGTGCAACTGGGCGGGGCAACACTGCTACAGGGCTCGATAAGTCTATTACAAAATGCTTGGCCTCCGATTTAAGGCGCTGAGGAAAAGGAGGTGTAACAGAAGGTTTGTTATGGTACGTCCTTTCATACCGCGTGTCCAGAAACACTTCGAGTGCAGGATGTCGAGGCATATAGCGAACTCTTAAATGATATTGAAAGTCCAAGAGCAGACGTCTTTTTCCGAGAGAGTATTCATTAGATTCAGCGTAGAGACTGGGAACTGGAGAGGTCCGGAAAGCCCCCGTT